CCCTGAAAGAGGTTCAACTGTACTCTGAACTTAGTACTAGACGTTCGACGTTTGTTTTAGAGTTATGAGGAAATCTACAGAACTAAAGAAGAGCACTTTTTCGTTACCGATTTTCCCGCACTGCGCACTGCCGTGTTTCTGTAATTAACTCATCAAAAGAAGTCGAGGGAAATTTGCCACCAACAGAAGTCAGTGAGAGCGCTTCCAAATCTTCAGACATGAGTGAGTTGTCCAAACCTGAGTGAAAGAAATTTTTTCCTCACAAGTTAGATGATAAGGTGATGCCATAAGCTATTCTCCCCTCGTTCCCTTCCTGTCTTCTTATACCTCCCTTCTTCGAGCATTTGTCGAGTCTCGCGTTCCTTCTTATAGCTAACTCTTCCACGAGGAAGGATTTTTTCAAGATAGGATACACAATTTTTTTTCACTTTAATCAGCCTTAAGCAGGGATTTGAAAAAGATTCGAGCGTTACCATGGCTCTCTACCCCAACATCAAGCCCCCTTTTGCCCGTTGTCTTCACGCATGTATGCCGGGGTCCTTTAAAAGTTTGCAAGGAAAATACAGCTTTCGTAAGGAGTCTATTGGAAACATTCCCGTTTAAAATAGCATCTTGTAATATTGAGTGCCAATCGCCAAACGCGACTTGGTATCATTTTTGGTACTCATGCATTGCGCACGCAACTTAGATTATTCAGTTGTATGTAGTAGTAGAAAACTGAATTATCTTAAGGGTTCAGAATTAACTGTAGGCCCCAAGCCAGTAAGATGGATAGACACTGATTACAATGTATAATAGCCTGTGAGTATCGAATATGTGTTAAAAATATTGACCGTTCGAACACTGGACGCAACAAAGAAAAGGATTTATTGAACTTATGGACGCGACTTAGGGTGGGATAAACAGACACAAACAATAAACGACTCAAACTTACCAAAACTTTTTACTTCTGGTAAACAGGCGCCGCCAGTTGAGCAATCGGAAAAGGTCACAAAGTCGTTACTGTCCAGAACAACTGCCTCCGAACCCCATTTGTAGACTAGACGGAGTCTTAGGACCTTTTCCTTCGTGAAGTCAATACATCGCATTGAAAGGTAACACTGAGAGACCTCTGAGTGACTCAAGTCTACCATGTCTTCACTCAGTTCTCGTTTGAAGATCTGTATCGATTCTGATAGCTTCTCCTTTTGTGAAGCATAAAGAACTGTTTGAAGATTTCCCGGATGCTCGTTTTCGGCTTCCATTTTCATTACCGCAATGTCAGCTGGAGCGAAGCGACTCATGCATCTGTTGAATACATCCATGCCAGATCGATTCAGCATAATAACTGACTGGAATGCCCCTATCTTGCGCACTGATCCATAAATGTGCACACATGCAGCCGCACTCAGTTGAAGCTCGTCCTCCGATACTTTCTTGATGCTGAACGATTGAGAGTATGTGTCGTCATACTCGTCGTGCACCACGTTCTCAACATCAGACGAGGTACTGGACAATGTGGAGTTTTTCGAATCAATTAGCTCAAATCTCACCAGTTTTGAAGGATCAAACTTGGCAAAATCAACGAGACTCAATAAAATGTTGGCAAAATCTTGCATGTAATCTTCATCTACTTCCTTGTCGTCGGTCAACAATGTGTCTCGTAGGCGGCGAGAAAAAATTTCTAACCTTCTGTGCAGCCTTATGTCGTGTAGGCAGTGCTTGAAAAACCGCTCTAGAAAGTTAAGCATTTGCTCAATGGCAAGACTTTCGCTCCACTTTGTAATTTCTGCAACAGGCTTCTTGTTGTGATTCTTCAGGCACAACTTCTCCAGAATTTGGCACTCCACATACACAAGATTCCGGAATCTGTTGTTTTGTCGAGCATTCAAAACGCTTGTCAACAACTGATTTACGTTGTCCTCACGAAGTCCAATCAAGCCACTATGAGGAACAAGCCTCTTATGGTCAACAAAGATTTCCTTGATGGTTTGAATGAGATGGGGAACAATGGCAAGGAAAATGCTTGTCCTCGATTCATCTGACGGTGAACACACCAGTTTATATTTTGTAGAAATATCTTCTGGCATTGGTTGACGATTCTCGATGAATTGTTTGACTAAAGGATCTGCATTATTGGAAGATGAAAAGGCTTTATCCTGGTTCAACTCCAGGCAACAGTCTCTCAACACAGAGTTGCAAAGAATTGTAGCTTTACGTGAAAAATACCTCACTAAATCTGTGTTAACGAGTTGTAAGTCAGTTATCTTCGTGGCAAGTTTTCTCAAGCGCCTGATGTGCATCTGGCCTCTTGATGTTACATTGTATTCTAGTGAGTATTTTAAAAGAATATCACAGAATAAAATTGGTAAACTGTTTCCTCTACTAGGAACTGGGCGTCAAAAAGGATACAGGAAGGTCTTAAGGGTTACTTAAGGGGACTGTGTCACGGCTGTTCATTTTGTTAATAATGAATGCCAGCAACGCATCCATATTCGCTATAGAAACGTAAGAAATTACTTGTGAATGACAAAATCACAGCTTCTGTCAAACAAATGTCTCCAAGCATTATATTGTTACCAAAAAAAAAAGAACTTTGAAAAACGTTTAGGCTAACAAGTTTTCAAACCCAGCCACTATTTCAGTCCGTTTCAATCCTCTTCAAGTTTGTTCATCCGTACCTCCTTTTGTATTTGCCGTGTTATTTATACCTTCTGTTCATTGCATGAGCAGTTATTCTTATATTTCACTCAGTTTGGTGGCGGTTTCATCTGTCTGGATTTTGATAAATTTCGTGACACAGATCCTAATAAACTAAGTAACAAATTTAGATATCTTTTTAAAAAAAAAAACAGCCATTGCGCCGCAAGTCCGCTTGAAACACCACTGACCTTCTTGATTTATGCCCTCCAGACACTTTCTTAGAGAAGAAAGATTTTCTGCTCCAGCACTCTTCTCCGACCAGTGTTGCAAAGAAAGGTTCAACTGCTCGCAGTCGTCCTCCCAAAATCTGGTGACTTGATGTATTAACTCTTCAGGCATCTCAAGCAGCCTGGCAATGGTTACGACGTTAAAGATGTTCCCCTCCATGCCCAGTAGCTTCCTTACATAATTACACAGATCTGTGAAAAAATAACATACCACTTGTTAGGCATAAGAGGGGACACCTAGTAGTAGTGTCACTACAAATTTTTTGGAGACAATTTTTTAAATGATTTGTTTACCCCTATTTTGCGTCGAGGTCGGAGGTAAGAGTCCTAAGTAAAGGTTACAATAGTGAGTGAATGAGTGGTCAAATAAATGAATAGACTTAACGTGGGTTTCGTTCGCGAGAATTGCATTTAATTCATGTTTTAAAGATTAACTATGGAGACCAAGATAAGGAGGATCTTTAAGCACCACCGCCATCTATTGTATACTGTTATACTAAAGCACCTAACAAATTTACCTCCTTCACTAAAATGCTTCTTGCTCGCGTGCCCATTTTCTCCATTCACGCTGACTGTCCCACAGAGATATCTCACTTCGTTTTTCCATTCCAGAGGAAGTTTGATTACCTTTCCTCCATTCCACCAAACAAAGGAATCTACACCGAAACTAAAACTTCTGTGCTGGCTATCAGGTAGTTTGTAGTCTTCCCCGAGTTGAATACTAACTTGAAGGTTTTCATGATTGTAAATTCGCTTTTTATCTAGTCTGTCAGTGGCATGTTCATGTACCTCTATAAAACCCTCTTTCTTAAGCTGTACCAAAGCTGAAGTCTCGTCCTCTCTGAAGAATTGTTCGTGGTAAACGTCTTGGCTCACGAAAAGTAGAGCAAGCATGTCGTGTGCAGATGAGGGCCTCGTCTTGTTCAACAGCACCAGTAACGTGTAATCAAACGACAGCAAATCAAATCTGGACAGAATGTCTTTACTACGGATCAAGGTCCAACGTAACAGAACCATAATGAGTGAGAAATGTTTCATTTCAACCTCAACTTCTCCGGCTGCCTCATTAATCTTTGAACTCTTAGTGATGTCTTGCCAGGTGACCTTTCCATCTCTAGCTTCAGTGCCATGCAAAATGAAAACATCATCTCCATTCCATTTCCAATTCAAGCTTTTAAAACTAGTTGTCAGCTTTATAGGTTTCCTAAAAGAATGGCCATTCGGTTGTAGATTAACGATGGGTGCAGCTATAATTACGTCATTTTCCAGATCCTTTTGAACTATCAAACTGTAGTACTTAGACGGGTCCTCTAATGTTATGGTTACAGACAAGGAATCGTCAAGAGCTCCAGGGGGGCACACTAGCCTGATATTTCCTTCAGCCATTACACTACCTTCACTGGTAAAAATACCCTCAATGCTTTCTTCCTTGAAGACGCCTTACCGAGAAGGTTAACAAAAAAAGGAATAAATCAGTTTAACGACATATTATGTCTGCTAATAAACTCATTAAGTAAAATAGGGGCAAATCAGGAGTGAAATGTATGCTGATTACGTCACAAAACCCGCGCATATTCTGTATCCACAGTTCAGTCTACTTTGTTGTCGTATAAAGACTTGTCAGACGGATTTGTTGATAGATATCCGAAAATTCTTTCCCAACTAGGTGCTCTGCTAGATGTCATGATTTTAAAAAATAATGCGACTTTTTTTAATTAAAAAAAAAAAAACATGTTTCGACGGTACATCAGTCATCGTGTGACGGTTATGAAAGTTTACAGCTGATAAAAAGTGCCTGTTACAATGCACAGTAAATAACAATTCAGCTTAAAAGGCACATATAATGTAAATTAAACATCACATTCGAAAACTGATGCAATGGTACCTAAATTTTTTATCAGTTTTGTTATTGAGACTATTCAAGTGGTTATGTTACTGAAAGTGTTACTTTTTGGGGGAACAGAGCCGATGACATTATAGCCTTTTGCCTTTATCTTATAAATTTTTCTTTTGTTGTGCCAGAGTATTACTGGTTTGACAGGTTTTCAATGTTTTAATTGATGATATTACCTGAACCCTTGGTACCAGAAGCTTTTTCTCGCGTGCGGCGGGGTAGCTCGGTGTCGGCCACAGGACCTTTATTTGCTGCTAGAAAAAAACCTCTGGCACAGAGCGAGTCCATAAACTGTTCCCGTTGAAATTTGATCATGGGATTTCATTTAAACCAATCCGATCGAACGTCTCTAACTGTGATTACAAGGGCTGGCGCCTAAAGTTAAAATCGTTGTCTTTCGATTTGCATTAACGAGCGCTGACAGTCATAACAGAATTTTAACTAAGCTTATTCATTTATTTTTTTAGTTTAAAATCAAATATAAAGTTTCATGAGGCAATTTTTATATTTAATTAAGCGTAATCTCATCCGCCAAAGTAAAGAGAAATTAATACTGACTTAATAATGACTTGATATAAACAATAGACTAATAATTTCTGAGAAACCTCGATGTGGAATATTATTTAAGCTGAAAGAAATCATTATAGAACTTTTGGGAGAGATGATCGATCCCGCCTGAATGTTAGAGCGTTTTCACATGACGTCGCGGCGGCCATATTGGTATTCCAAAACAATGAAACGGCGGCCATGTTGGTGTACCAAACCAATCCCGTGGGAGTTGAACTCTTTTCTTATGCAAACGCTTTCTTTTGTTCCTATAAATTTTCATAAATGCTGCCCACGTGAATGAAAACGCTTTATAGACTTTTTAGCTTGTATGTTTTGTTTTCCCATTGCAGACCATGTGATGTTACCCAAGAGAACTGTTTCTTTTAAATCTCGTCCCATTCACGTGCATCCACGTACATATGCGTGCATGACTAATGAAAAGACAAAAGCCAAATTACCTAGAGAATATCACGTGCTCGGAATTGGGAAAACAAAACATACAAGATAAAAAGGTCTATTCGCACACAAGGTCCAGGAACAATCGATGTAGCACTGCATTAATAGCGATTTTCCGCAAACAGCTCGCAATACCACCAAAGCGCCCTTGCGTCCATTACATTAGGTCGTTTGCCTCGCGATTAACTGCTTGGCACAATCGAAAGTTTCTAATACGTTTCTTCGGAACTGTGTCAAACCTTTAAGCATCGCAAGAAAGCTTAACAACAGGAGAGTAAAACGTTACCTTCAGAAGTAGTGAAAGTTGGCGGCAAAACCTCTAAATCCAGTGCATCGCTTTTTTCTGCAATAAGATGATTGGACACAAGGCAATATAATAATAATAATAATAATAATAATAATAATAATAATAATAATAATAATAATAATAATAATTTACTTTTTATAAGGCGCAAAATAGCATTTGAATATATGATCTAATGCGCGCAAATAGGCAAAAATAGTTTCCACTATCCTACAGTGTCCCAGGATTCAGGGTAAGTTCTTTATCAATTCTATATGGGAGTTTTGCTCCATCTTTTACCCACTGATATGGGGAGCTGGGTACCCCGTGGCCTTGCATCTCAAGGTAACAGTCCCACCCACTCTGACTAGCTGCGACTTGGGTTGTTTGATGATTTTAACCTCTTCTGTATTATGAATACAGCACCTGTGTATAATTAATAAGTTCGTACTAATAGTTAACAAAGTTAATCCAAGAAGTATTCTTTCGTTTTAAGACTACTACAAAGAAGAAGAGTAATCAAAAAAGAAACTGTGTAAAAACAAACTGTATAGAGAATAATGTGTAACTGGTGCATCTACATCACCACAGTAAGCACCATTATTTTTGTTTCTTTGTTTGTTTGTTTGTTTGTTTGTTTTTTTTGACTAGCCTAATTAATATCAACTTACCTTTGTATTCCAGAATGTCTAAGGCTTGACAATTCCCACTTTTTTTCAGCCAGACAACAAGCTGTCGAACAGTCTTAGCCCTTTGGCCTAAGTCAGTTAACAAAGCCATTGAAGGACTTCCATCCATTCTTGTTCTTTGGTTTTCAAATGACGTAACCTAACCGAATACAACAGTTTATTAAAGGTTTTTTTAATGCAAGTGGGACTATCGATACCGGGGGATTACTTGGGCTAATTTTTGCTGGTTATGTGCCGCTGGCCTCTCAACGCCCCTACCCCATTATAGTCTATTCTGTGGCCAATTATAGACCCCGTCTTAGTCACTTTTAGGAAAATATGTAATTTTCGCGATCCCAACTTAGTCACTTTTTATTTTTATGAATTGACCCATATTTTAAATGGAATGAAGAACACTTTATTTTTCACCTACAGTACAAACATTCTAGTACGTTTGCTAACCGTAAGTATGAAGAACTGTCTTACCCCAAAAAATCCGAAAATGTGCGACCCCATTCTAGTAACTGTATTGAAAATGCGACCCCGTTGTAGTCAAACCAGTCGTGAAAATGCGACCCCATCCAGCGGCACATCCCCATTAACCTCTTATAAGGAGGTACCGATATCGATATTTTATTTAGTACAGATTACGTGCAGGTTCCCCATCATAAATAATCATTACCGTTTTTAACACAGGGCCTGAATATCTAACACGGTCTCTTTTCAAAGACTTTTTCTCGGTTCGTTTGGGCCCGGTGAGATTCGTATTCGAACGTCGCTTGTGTTTATAGCCGGGTTAAAAGTAAATCCAGAAGGAAAATTCTTTCTTTCTAGCAAGGTTCTCAAACTTGTTCATAACCAAATGATCGGAAGAATACACCAGTATAAATTTTCATAGTGATTTTTTGGCTGTAAATATGACTTAAAGTTTGACGGAAGATTTATTATTATTATTATTATTATTATTATTATTATTATTATTATTATTTTAGCTGCCTTTTTTTGGGATATAATTTTTATTAAATCGGCCAACCCCTCCCTCAAAAGGTAAACGGAATTAAAGCTCCTAAAATTAAATATAGGTGTGTGGATTTCTTTGCCATGGCTTACGTTCATTGGTTTTAATATACGTAGTATAACGAAAGCTTTGCTTGCAGGCTGGCTTAAACTATATATTAGGATTTGATTCACAGACTCAAAAGCTACAACCTCTTAAACACCACATTTAACACGAGGAACGTAGTTCTGCTCAGTAGCTCTAATTTCAACTGAATAATCACAAAAGTGTTTTTTTAGGATTTCAGTTAGGACCACAGTGTACAGCATAAATCAACCGTACCTACTGGGGAAAGTACTGCTTTGAAACGTTTGCATGCCTAGCTCATGCCTTCAATCCTCCTTGGAATCATCACACAAAAATTATCACAATATAACTGGAAATCATTCTCGGGTTTATGGAGAGGAATCTAAATACTGTTTTGTTACCTGTTCTTGTGAATACATTCCAGTTGGCATCACACTGATAAGGGCCTTCCAGTCACGAGGACCATCAATGTCGAGCTGGTCAGATAATTTCTTGAGAATGCCATAAGGTAGCTCTCGTATTTCCATATCCACGTACCTTGTCTTTAATAAATTCAACACATGCTTAAATTGAAACATATTATTCATTCAAAATATTTCGCCTTTTCCGGGATTGGTTCAAAGCCCCTGCTTTTTTTTTTTACAATCAAATGACATTTACGATATATATTTATTGCCTTGTCCCTAGGCCTCATTATTCCGCGCGGCCAAAGCGTTTCGGGTCACGTGGTCCAAGCGAAAATGTGAGGCCTAGAAAAAAATCCCCAAAAGTGAGACAAAAGTGAGACAGCTCTAATCTCAGGCGGTGGTTTTCAATTAAAGACCAGTGTTTCGCATGTCAAAGCTAAAAATACACCGCTCAAGGACACAGAGAAGGGAAGGGAAAGTTCAAAAGAATGCTTAGTTTTCTTTTAGTGAACAAAGGAAGGCTCTTCTTCACAAAATTGTCCTTCTAGGAATTCGAAATTCACGAAATTTTCTTCACAGCCGATCAGAGCGCTTGGCCTGTTCTGAAACGCAACCAAGCAGCCAAGTTTTTGAAAAGTTTTCAGGTACATTTTGTACTCTTTAGTCAAGAAAATTACGTCTTTAAAAGAAAATTTATGTATTTGTTTAAGCCTGCTTTCCATATGATTATCCGGATCGTACCGATCGCCCTAGCCGTTTCAAAAAATTTCGATACGATCCTGACGACTGGGACGATTGGTCGTTTCCATGTGATCGTTTCGATCGCCTCAAAGCCAAGAGACACGGGGTCGTCAGCGATGTCTCTGGGTGAGACAATTATAGAATTTTTGCGCGTGTTTCGCAAACAAGCCAAACATAAAATGATTATGATTTTTATTCGGAGAACCAACCTCGTCCCTTTCTATCTGCTTTTTCTCTCGATTATGCGACGTCGAGAAGCTAGAAGAGTTCGACGAAAACATACTATCACGTCGAGAACTTGAAGTCACGGACTTTCTCTAATTTCAAATATTAATAGCGCCCATACGCGGTGCGAACATTTTGTAGTACTTTGTTGACTTCAGCGCCGTCCAGGCCGAATATATTCTCGATTACTGGTATAAAAATGATGATTTCTGGGATAGCCTTCGATCGTCCCGATCGTCCCAGTCGTCTGAAACCGTTTCCATATGATCGTTTCAAAATTTGCACGATCGTCCCGATCGTCCGGATAGAACTCAACTCTATCCAAGCGATCAAGGTCGTCTTAGTTGTCCGCATCGTCTGCAATCGTCCGGGTAGCGTTTCCATGTGATCGTTTCGATCATCCGAACATTATTTTTGAGACGACTGGGACGATCGGGACGATCATATGGAAACCAGGCTTAATATTTCATTTTAGAAGTTTTGTCCATTTTGAGATCGGCTTGAGCGCCCTGATTTGACATTTGAGTTGAATGATTTTTGCCACGTGCTTAGCCTTTTTACTTGCGTGAACGGACCCACGAGCCAAGTTTGTGCGTGTTACGCGAATTGCTGTTAATAAGGGTTAATCTATGGGTTTTAAAATAAAATTTTTCGAGAAATAGTTTCTCTGTCTGTTGTTGTACGGTGTTCTTTCATTGATAACATTTGCTCAAAACACGATCCTGAGCTCGAGACTACAGCATCCAAGTTGAATTTTTAATACTTCTCACATTACACGCATCACTTCTGCGAATGCCGGCGAATTTTTAGGGCACTTTTCGATACGCAGCTAATGAATTTTATTTGAATGTATGTTTTCGATGATTTGCGCTCTCTAAAGTATCGTTTTACTTTGAAAATTGGCGCAGTTGGGTTAAGAACTTAAAACTCTGATAGTTCAGTTGAAATGATGAGATTGAAGAAGCAGAAATCAATCTTCACAGGACTATGAATAACATTCTGATGACTTTTCAAAGCCGGTTGGCAAAAGTCAATCTCCCAAATTTCCACAAGAGTTTACAGGGTTTTTTAAGAAGCCATAATTTTCTGCTGTTTACAACATCTTGATTTCAAAAAAGCAACGCACGCATGCGCATTCTGTTTTTGGCTGGGCTTTTCCTGCCCGTTCACCTCGGATACGTCACCGAAGTGAATTGACCGAGAGAGACTGGGAAAACGCCGTACAGGAACTAGGCAAATACATTTAGAAGATGGAGCAGTATCCCATCGATTCGATGGTATGTTGCCGGGGCAATATACAGTATACTTTCGATTCGAGAAACCAGTTGGTTTTGTTACATACATAAAAAAAAAAACGTTACATACATTAAGAACGGGGCACGCGAGGGGGACGCGCGCCCTGTTCTTTCCTGTTCCTATATTACTTACAGGCACCTGCTACGCAGGCTTCTTCGATGCTAACAATAATTAAATTTCTTTATGGTACGCTTTATTAAGAGCTTAGAGTTTTTAAGGAGTTTTATAATTGTACAGCAAGAAAGACCTCACAACCATTTAGGATAGCAACTGACAACTAATTAAATTATAACACCTCGTTAACCCCTCCTTCATACGTTTAATCGGTTTCTGAACATTGCTCGTTATTACAAATTAGGAATGTAATTTTTTCCCATACTAACGCAACTCCATTTTGTTTAGTTTGTCTGATTTGACTGGAGTAAGAGAGAGAATAAGAGTCACGCTAACGCCAAACACCATGGTGTCATCATCCATGATAATAATAATATCTTTATTATTCCTGTAGACGACCACCTCCCGGAAGTGATCACTTTGTCGTGAACCAAGGGTGGTCGCTTATGAGAGAGTTAACTCTACTGTTTCACTGCAAAGTTTTGAACATTTTGACGCTATTTCTATGATCGATAAGAGTATAGACCGTGGAAAATTGTTGTTGATTTTTCCCTCATTGTTTATGTCTATGTTGGTCGAGGATTCTCGGAAAATTGCGCTCGCAAGAAAGAGAAAAACAAATTGCGCTATTATCATGTCATTTCCATGGTCTGCACTAGACCAATCAGAACGTGAGAAATCGCACAGTTGCAGTTACAGTAAAAAAACAAATAAGTACTCACAGACTGAACAACACCATCGGCCTTGTTTTCAACGCTGCTGCTTTGGTTCTTTCCCCACTCACTATGCACTCGTTCTTTCTCATAAGTTGATGGCTCCGCAATGCCTCTTGGATATGGGTATTTTAATGTAACGACTTCTAAACACAACAGAGAAAAAATTGACATTAAGTTAGAAGAACGCTGTGCCACTTGACCAGCAGGTATGATCGTCCGCATTCAGTGTATGCCTGTCAAATAAATTGGACCGTTGTTTACAATGAGTGATGAGTCATCATCAGAGTTACGGCATGGGTTGGGTAACTCCAGTTGATGATATTAAAAACCCACGGAGAAATTCATACAATTAAATCCTGTCAAACATTTATATTATTTCTTATCCAATTACTGTATATGTGCATGTTATACATCTTGTAAATATTTATATTTTTATATTATTTTTTTAACCCAATTACTGTCTTTATATTTACTACTTTTCAGAGGTTTATTAAGAAGGCCTTTGAGCTTAGTTAACATCCTATTCGCCATTTGCACATCTCAGATAATACACCTTGTTTGTCGTTATGTCAGCCCACGGATGAGTAGACTGCTTGCGGTCCGCCTTTTCTCTTAAAATCCGTCTAGTTCTTATCTCATCCAGCGCGATTGCAAACCACGACGTTATGATTACAATAAGGCATGGAGACCAGACGAGAAAAGCCTCGTTTCTCGCAGCTCGCGGCTTTGCCGCTCGCGTCCTTAGGTTTCGCGTGCAGTAACTTTGCAAAGAAAAATAAGAGACTGCTCGCAGTCCAACAGATGAGCCGCTCATCACTAGAGTTCGCTGTAGCTCTGTGGTTAGAGCATTTGGCTAGTGTCTGGAGGGTGGGTTCAATTCCCATCTGGAACTCAGAATTTTTTTCTGAGTTCTCTCTCCACCCAAATCATTCTATTTATTATTTATCGCTCAGAGAGTAACAACGTGACAGCAAGGTGTAGTTATTTCGTGTGTTTATGTGACATAATGTGACTGTGCGATGGGGTCATTATGTCGGGCCACAAGTGACTTGCTCATCACGGGAGTTCTCAGAAGCTCAGTAGTTATAGCATCCGACCAGTGTCTAGAACGTCGTGGGTTTAATTACCATCTGGAACTAAATTTTTTTTCCTGAGTCCTTCTTTCCATAAATATCATTTATTTATTACGACGATAAAACCCAGGAGAAATTGGAAACAATGGTTATACAAAATTTGGGGGGGGGGGGGGGGGG